AATTATATTTAAATTAACAATAATAGTCATTATGTTATAACGTATAAGTAGGTAACGTGATATAGTATTAGAGTAGTGATGTAATTTAAAAAAATTGGCAATAACGGTTAAAGTTTAAGTAAAAGTGAATATTTTCTGTCGCCCAAAAAAATCTTATTGTTATGCATATTTTTAAAAAGTATAATGTATTATTTTGAATGATAATAAATATTTAATGTACATAAGTTATAATTCTTACAATAAACTGGTGCATTTTATTGTTGCTTATTAATTACAATACACTGTAGTTAGTTGGTTAAATATATATATTTTGTTTTAAACCATTTGATGAAAAACGCAGTTATGTATAGTTAAATTAAAAATCAATACTAATTAAACTTAATGCGAATGAAGAACAGTTGTATCAACAGATTTTTCATTAATACATTTACACATTGTTTATAATTAAAACTGTTTTTCAGACGTTTTAAACAAATATTACCCAGTCACTTATCTATTCCAATCACACAGATAAAAATAAATTACATTGAAAATTAAATAAATATTTATAAATGAATGCTATATACGTTATCAACTTTTACATGATTAATACGGAAACGAAATGTTCTTATAACGTGTTTACATTGAACAAAAATAATGAACATCGCTTAAAAAGTAAGTTTTTAAATTATTTTACATAAACATTTGTGCTATCATTATTTATACTACCGACATTGTTTCTTTTAATCTCGTGTAATAAATTATAAATTTAGACATTTAGTTTACGCGGAAAACTTTTAAAATATCAATATTTTAATTCATACAACCTGTTGAAATATTTTTAAACCGCAAAATTATATAATTTAATTTTAATAAATTCGTTTGTATATATATATATATATATATATGCACGCATTATGAACTTATTAATACTTATAATCTAATATATTATTATATCTATAGGTGGTACATAATATATCGTAATAATCGCTAGCCACATAAAACTGCTTAGCTATACACAAGCCCGGATTAAGACCTTCAGGGACCCAGGGGCCAATACATGATTGTGGCCCCCACCAATGGAAATAATTTTTTAAAATTATATTTACAATATATAATAAAACGAATATAAACAAATTTCAGTAACCTAGCTATGTGTCCCCGATTACCATGCCAATGGTGGTAAGCATGGTAAGCAGGTGATGGGTCCCAACGCCCGTAAGTTCAAACAAGAAAATAATAAAAATAAAAACAGTCTCGTGGGTACTATAAAAAGTACAAATTATCACTCAATGTAATTTTAATCCGAGAAAACTATGAGTCCTTTACATATGTGGACGCCCTTAATCCAGGCTTGGCTGTATGATAAATAAACGTTACGTTCAGTTCGGATATTGTTATTTAACCATTCTGTTGTATCCTACACATCGTCCCCGCTGTGGTTTAATTTTCGTATAATGGGAGATAATTATAGTTGTCACAATATACATATATTTATACGGTAATACATTTAAAATATTGGCGTAACGCGATGAGTCTAAAAGATGCAAAGAAAAACATTTTTAACTTTATTAATAACAATATATGTTTTTCATCCATATACAAAATATGTCTATTCGATGTAATGCTGTTCAAATAAATGTTACGTTTATAAAAACAAGGCGCTAAAAAATGTTTAATTATTATTATAAAACGGATAATAATAATTATATGTGTTACCAATAACAGACTGATTTACTGATTTACAATATTACTGAATTCTTTACAGATGCATTGATCATCACGACTAATAACATTAAATTTCTTTCTAATAAACATAGTTGCACTGTCTAACATGTTTAATACAGCAAGTGAATTAAAAAACTTATAACTATTAATATGAAAATTTATGTTTGTATTTAGCCAAGTCTCACCAAAAATTAAAACATCAAATATTTTATTAATAGATTCTAAGAGAAAGATTATTTCATCAAAGTTATTTTTGATACATCTTATATTTGAAAAAGAAAGAGCCTTATGGAAAAAAATATTAATAATCAAATGAAGCAATATTTTTTAAATTAACGAAATTAATTAAACTAATATTATTAATTTATAAAATTAAAATCTGTAGTGATTATAAAATATGTAGATATTCAATGTATAAACCATGATAATCAATTAAAACTCACGCCATAGTTGGAAAATCGGTTTTTCATCTTTTAATCCTACGAAGCTGATTCCTTGAATTTGATTTTTATAGAAGCATCACCTTCCAATTTTTTTATATAAACACCATAACTATTGGCCCATGCGTATTTGAAGTGATATGCTTTTAGTATTAATTTAGATTATCATAATAATTTTTATCATATAGTGTCAGAAAACAATGAATAATACAATTTTTTTTTTCATTTTTCACTGACATACGAGTAAATGTCCGTTGTTTTAAGAAGATTATTAGATTTGGCCCCTTTTCTAATCTTGCTAAGAAATTTATTCCTTAATGTAAAATACATCAATGAAAGTTACCATAGTTTTAACCAAATTTTCATTCTTAGTTTTATTTCTAAAAATATTACACAATCTTTCTCATCTGATATTGTTTAATTTATTGTTGACATATGAAACTATTTAAATTCGTCAACGCCGTGGCGGCTCTTATTGCTGTAGCAATTAACCGCCAAGACTCGCGTTTGATTGAGGGATAGGTATATTGAAGACCGATCGTATGATTCGACGTTGATGATTGAAAAAACAACATGGCATACAATGGATGCGCGTTGCACTTAACAAATATAATAATAATAATAATAATGTACAAATATTGGATTTATGAGGCGCCCCAGAATAATAATAAATTAACAAATATTTATAATATAAATGACCAGAGGTCATAGATTTTTTACAATGATAATAATGATAAACAATAATTAGCGATTCGACTATCGCCCGAAGATGGAAATTATGGACATAATTTTTGACACCGTGAGATGGGAGTTGCCGACAAGTAACGATGAAACAGCGCACACGAACCGGGCAACAACACGAACGGTACGTTTCGAACAGCGACGGTGAAGGCGCACACACGTTAATTAATTGCGGTGGCGGCGAGGACGCACTTATGTCGAATGTAACGACGACGACGAAAAGGCGTACACACGTTGATTAGCGGAAAAAACAAAACGCGACCGCAAGTTAAAAAAACGTACACGGGTCAAAGCGGCACCACGACGCGAAAAAAAAGTAAAAAAAAAAAAAGAAGAATGAACTGAAAAATGAAAAGTGACGAGTCACCGGGCTGTACAGCCCCATCGATTTCGCCGCGCACGATGATCGGCGAGACTCGTGACCGGACTGCGATGGTCGGCGGCGGAGGGATCGGGATGGACCGATATCAAGCCTCCACGGACACGCGAATCATGTGGCACGAGTGCTGGGCGGTGCGAAGCGTGTGCCGATCGAACGCAATTGTTTGATTCAATTGAGTGCATTTTTAAAAATAAGTGAATTCATTTTTTAAATTTATAATTTTATTTTCAAGAAATTTTTATTGATTTTTTTTTTTTTTTTATAAGATCATCTTATTCTACCGAAAAATCATCTGTTTTAGAAGAACCGAAACAGACTGAATCCTTTAGGGTTCCAACATTATCTAATAACTTCTTTACATTTTGTGTCAATGCATAAATCTCAGATCTTAAATCTGAAATTCATCATAATTTTTAAAAAGATTAATTTTTTTCGAATGGTAACATTTTAACGAATTTCATCGTATCATAAGTATCACAAGCCTTTAAGCTTCGACATTGATTTAATAGAAGTACAATTAACACGGTATTCATAATTACATATAATAAAAACCAATTTTTTTTGCGGAGATATATTTTGACCGCAAATTCCACAAGGCGTATGGTTTTTAAATGAACCCGGCACTTTCAATAACGAGTATAATATTAAAATATAAGATAACGGAATAAAAGTTAAACACGACTGTTCACCTAAGCAGCAGAACTTATACTGATATATTAATTGCTTTCGGTACGAAATAAATGTGTATACCTTGAAGTTCAAACATTAATTATACCTTCAGTTTCGTTCGGTCTTTTCAAACCGTTTCCTGTCAAAACCGCACTGCTTATGCATCACACTTATTGTCGTATGTAGCCAAATTGAACTTCAGTATACTGCCGTAGACGAAAAAATATTTTTAATCTTCAAATAAATGATAAAATATAATACGGTCTGTTGAATTTACCTATACATGACCGGTATTATTTTTGTATACCTAACTAACCTCTTTGTCTCGATGTTGGTTCAACTAATAATGAGCTACCGGATCATCGTTAAAGGGACGGTTTTCGTTTTCCCGTACTTTAACATAATAAGAACATCCGGAGGGTTATTGGATCCCATAATTTCTATAGACACAATACCTTCAAGAAGACTTTTTTTTTCCGTCAGGAAGCAATGAACATTATGTGTGCAATGAGTAAGGAAACAGCACATTTTTTTATGACTTTATAAACGTTAAGATAAGAATTCATTTCCGCGTACAACTTGATTCAATAAAATGAAAAACTGCTTCTAGGCGTACATAATATTGTGCATTTACAGAAAATGTACTAAACGTTTAGACGCATTTGGTAATATTATTTTAAATGTTTGAAAACATAAAATATATTTAAATATGTATGCATCGTGATATAGCAGTGAACGCTGTATTACATCAAAGAGAGAAATAAGAGCTGTGGGAAGTAAAAGAAGTTTTAAACATTAAACTTTGTGAACACCGCCCACGCTGTTGCTGCAGTCATTTGATGTGTACGTGTGTTCTCCTGCGATATACAAACTTTAATAAGGATACATATATATCCTGTAAAATGTTCAGTTTTAAAGTCATTTTGCATAATTAAAACAAAAAAAAAAAAAAAAAATCCTTTGATATTCAGTCAATCAACGTAATTTCTTCGAAATCTATAGTCATACTATAATTATGAAGTACACATACGAGGTCTGTTCAAAAAAATTTTAGACTATGATAAAATGCATATAAGCTGCTATATTTTCAATTAGACCAGAAATGCTTATTGCTATAAAAACATTTATACGTACTATGCGCGTTTAATGTGAACGAGTCACGTGTACAATGAATAAAATATTACAGCAAAACATGGTCTGGCAAAAAGTAAAACATTACCTTTTAAAATAATTTTTGAATTGAAACTCCTATTTTGTATATTCCAGAGAAGAACAATTTCGAAAGAACATCGTAGGCTTTAAGAGTTATTCACAATAGAAAGCTCATATAATGATGCGCGTAAAAGTTATTTTTTTTTTTACTTTTTAAAATTTATTTAACTTTTTTGCACAATAATACAGTGAAACCCCGAACTCCGGTATCTCGAAGTTTTTGTGTACCAATTTTTTTTTTTTTTTTGGTCCCGATCATTCAGTATTGGCTTTACGTATTAATCGAAATCGAAAATCGAATTTCCATATTTCAAATTTTTCCATAAGTCGAAGTCATAATCCGACTATTATGATTCACTAACTCGAATATATGACTCGTATAAAATTCCCAGACTACAAAATACAAAATAGGTGATAGAGCTTGTAATAACGTTGATATTTTATTATAGTTTAGCTAGTGACCAATAACGGCGATAAAGTTACACGGGCTTATATTCATAAACTTTGAATACGATGACTAAATACGAATAAATGATGAATATTCATAATATGTATACAATATATAAACACATTTCATATTATAAATACACGTTTTTCCCAATAATTCAACATTTTTATTTCAAATTTTATTCATGTTTTGAATTCCCTCGGTAACTCGAAGTTTCGATATGTTTAATTTTTTTTTTTTTTTTTTAGTCTCTTGCGACTTCGATACATCGAAGTTTCACTACGTATTGAAAAATTTTTCGGGGCTTCCCTTTTAAATATTACTGTGAACAATTCACGTAATAGGTGTTTAAAGTCTGAAATTACGTTTAAAGGCAGTTTTGAACCTTTCACGAGAACATGTTTTCACTTCTAAACATCGGTTCGACATTTTCTTAACAATATATAAACAAACGGTTTTCATACACCTAATTTGGTTGAAAAAATAAAATGTTATTTTTATATTTTTAATATTTATCCGTACAATATTTTTTCACCACACGTAATGTAGACTTGAAACTGGAGACCAATGGTTGTGAACTCCCGTCGAACACGCGTTGAAGTACATATTCAAGCACGAGCAGTTACCGATTGTTTATGTAACGTGTTGATTTTGACCGTGTGACGGTTTTCTGCGTTGGGAACGGCGTTCAGCGCCCAGACTTGCAGGTAGTTCAAGTTGTCCGTGAAAATCTTGGTGACCGCCGGCAACGATTCGTGCGATTGCAGAACCACGGTATGCTCCTCGACGCCGACGCCCGCACCCGGAACAAACCTACGTGGTGACAAAGCGTTATGCACGGTTTTCAATAGCGGTTCACGTAGCCGGCCGGTGAGAACGATACAAATCACGTTTGCACACGTTTTGACTTCGACGAACGTGCCCGTACATCTGGTGCAACGTGTATGCATTTACCTGAGCGCCACGAAATCTCTGGTGTACACGTAGTTCAGCCCGCCCTGGATGTCCGCGTACAGGCCGCTCGAGTTGCCGACCTTGTCGTCCTCGCGGCACACTTGCAATCCGATCGGAAGCGTGTCGCCGTTCTAGACATTGTTTCGTAACACCGTAAAATATTACAACCATCGTTTCTTGATTTGATTTCTGCGACCTACCATAGTTATCAAAACGGCGGTGGGCTCGGGACGAAGCAATGGGGTAATGGAGTTTTAATTGCAGCCTTTAAATGGAACACTCCGTGCGTACAGAACTGTTTATACGTGTATACGCCTATAGGTACGTTTCGACGCAAAACGGGGCAGGCAGTTGCGCGCATACCGATAGTTATAATCGTGGTGAATAAAACTTGAAAGCATCCGGCACCGGTGTACGCGATATTATACAGTGCGCACTGCAGTGTGGTTTGCAGTGCACGAGCGCTTGGGAAAAAGAATTCAACGAATTTCATTCGAAACATCGCCACACGAGATCGAGAAAAATTAGGGGCAGTAAGTAGGGTTAAAACGGTATTACTATAGTCATTGCAGCTCGGTGAAATTTTAATTAAACGTAACGCGACGGCATTCCATAGACCGTGCAGAAAGGATTAAACACCGTCTGTTTCGTTATTCCTCAGATCGGCATAGGCGTAATATACGGCAGGAAAGGGGGGGGGGCTGCCCAGATGTCTTATCGGGGGACAAAGGTATTGTCATGTCTCATTTGTTATTACTCAAACACGTTACAGTTCAAATTTTCAATGCGAAAGAAAAAATGAGAGGATGGATGTACACGGATACATTGGCATATGGATAAGTGTAATATACAACACTTACAAGTAAAAAGAGTCGTCATCAAACAAAGATTTAGTTTTTATAGTAAAATTAGTGTCGAAATCATGATAAGGACATAATGCTCGCACGCACGCAAAACTGGATGTAAGCTCAGATTTTGCGTCACCGCTGACGATGAGTATGACGTTTTAGCATGGCTGCCCACAATAAGACCCATCCATGTCGCAATCAAATCTACGATAAATCGAAACTTTCAACGCGGTATTATACCGTTGGTATATAGTCGTCGACCGTTGATCCGCGATAAAGTGTTACCGGTCCACAGGAAAATTATGGTTATTGCGAAAAATGTTGAACATTATTTGAAATATTATTAACCTTAGGTTTACTGATCTATGGCCGTATAGTGGATATAGTAAGACGGCACAAATGTTATATAATAATGTAATAGTCAATAATGCAATACAATTATTATTATTATTTTATCAATGTATTTTTATTCGATAGAAAACTTATCAGTGGAACAGCGTTTACGAAAAAAAAAGTTATAAGTTCAAAATCTCCGATTAAAATCCTAAGATAGTTGTCGTATAAACGCTATAAAATTAACAGCGATACTTTTATACAGGAGTAGTAATAATTTTGCAGTGCGAACGAGTGATCCGCATGTCTAAGTTATACAGGGTGGGGCACTAAAATGGCCGATTTCCAAAGATAAATTTTCTCATTAGTTATTAAAATAAAAATTCTCTCTAAATATTATTAGTTGTAAGACATCATGCCATTTAGTAAACATGGAACAGTGGAGTGATGAACAACGTGCTTATGCGATAAAATCATTATACAAAAATAATGACAGTTACGTAGCTGCGCAGCGTTCATTTCGTCTTCAATTCAATCTTAAACGCCATGATTCGGCACCATCGGCAAGGCTATTTAAATATGGATAACCAACTTTGAAGACACGGGTTTAACATTAAAAAATATATGCCCGTAAAAAAAAGCATTCATAAACATCACTGCTGTTAAGACCGCTCTCATAAGGAGTCCGAAATGTTCTGCACAAAACATATGTTTTTTTTAAAACTTGTTCAGTAGAAGTCTAGGTCGGATTTTACACAGCGACGTGTTTTTTTTCGTACAAGCTTCTTTTTTAATGTTGAACCCGACTCTTAAAAGTTGGTTACCCATATTTGAATAGCCATGCCGATAGTACTGAATCATGGCGTTCAAGATTAAAATGGAGACGAACAAATGAACGCTGTGCAGCTACGTAACTGTTATTATTTTTATAAAACAATTTTATCGCATAAGCACTTTGTTCAGCACTCCACTGTTCCATGTTTACTAAATGCCATGTTGTCTTGCAACTAATAATATTCAGAGAGAATTTTTACTTTAATTGCTACTGAGAAAATTTATCTTTGAAAATCGACCGTTTCGGTGCCCCACCCTGTACTATAGTGTTTTGTTCATCGGTGTACTGGCGTATATATTTTTGAAATACTCTCGAATTTCAAGTCCCCGGAGACCGGTGTGAATCGTTTGTACGTACCTTTGCGTTGTATCCGTGATAATAAGAGGTCAGATTCCGCAGATCGTTGAACGAAGCAGAGTAAAAACTGTGCGACCGCGCCGAAGTCAAGAATACGCACGATCTGAACTTGGACACGGCCACGTGTTCCGCGGGTACGTCCACGTCGTCGTCCGACCGGCCATCGGCGGCGTCTTCGGCTGCGGTAGTGACGGCGTGTTGCAACAACGCCACCCGGTACCAAATGCTCCTGTTCGGGTCGAATACGGTCAGGTGTCCGCGGCCGTTCGCGTCACCGATGTACACTCGTGTCCTGCCGTTGAAAGGTCTAGCGTCCACCACCAGAGCGGTCAGCCCCGAACCGTTTAACCCGTTCAGTTCCGTCCACCGTATCTGCGATAATCGATCGGGTTACGGTTACGACGTAACGCCGCAATGTGCCCCCGAGAAGTTGGCGCCCCGGACTTTGTCCGATCAGCCGGACCACTTTGGTGCCGTTATTCAGAGCGACCGATTTCGTCCCGTTCGGAGTGCCAACTACTGCGAGCACGACACGTAGCCGGGCGAGGCGAAAACGAGGGAACCAGTGCACGTAGGACCACCGAAACCTGCGCGTGCGCTTTGGTGTGATGTCGGTTCCGAGCGGTCGTCAAGCGAGCGAAAGTTTCGGGAAACGATCCAAGCCACGTTTTTGCAGATAACTCGATTTCGCAAACATACGGGTATGTTTCGCTATCGCCCCGCGCCTAAAATTTGTTCAAACGTTTTATACGTACGAATTTTTTGATCTTCAGGTCGAAGACGACAATTTTCGGTTGACAGCTGTTGTTGCCGTATCCGCCGTCCAGCACGTACAGGTGTCCTCTGATCTTGTCAAGGTCCACAGCGACAGCCGATTGGACGAACCGACAGTCGCCGATTTTCTTGTGGGGAAACGAAACAAAACAAAATGAATTATCGATCCGATCCACTACGGCGGACGGGAAAGAATTACGATTTCAAAAGCGTGTTTGTTTTGATTTATTTATTTATTTAATTTTTTTTGTCGTTTTTCTTCTTTACCATAATCATTTTGTATACGTTACACAAAAATCCCACGCCTCACGGTGATGCGAGTCGCTTTGCGTTCAAACGGATATACGCGATACGTGCGACCGTTGCTGCGGCCACTCGAAAGTCGGCTAACGCTTTTATTCGAACATTTTTGCACCGTATCACAGCGGCGGTTTTGGGATTCAATTTTGACTGAGGCGACTAAATATTAGCATACATGTATACAAAAATTATAACATTAAAATTGTAACACTAATGTTTTCTAAACGTTTAATCCCCAAGTAGCTGTGAATACGTTATTTTGATGACTCGTGAAATTTTACATTGCGGGACAAGTTTTCAAAATCACAATAACCAACTGTCAACCAGTCAGATTTTGATTGACCTAACAATATACACGGCCAACAAAATAACGTTTTTTTGTAATAGCTTCCACAAATCATACCACGCAGGATTAAACAGTCGACTAAATACTTTGCCACCTTTTTTGTCAAGTGATTGGCACGACAAAAAAGGAGTTGCCTCGCGCTTTCACATGAATATTATTCCAGCGCCTGAAAGGCGTTTCAAATAATATCATTACTGGATCATTTATAGGATCCATAGTTCCAGAATGTGACACAGTTGCAAGTCACGTGTACTATAACGTACTATACTGTATAGAGTAGTATACAACAACAAAATAATATCGCTAATCGTTATAGATTTGCGTACAAGAACCAATAAGACTTATATTAAATCAACAACGCACACGGATAGGAAACACGGTAGTACAGTACCACGGTCTGCGATTACGAGATAAAAGTGATTAGTGGAACGGAGATGGCAGATGGACGACAATACGAGCACAGACTACGATTAACAAGTCGATACGAACAGAAGATAACTGCACCGATGATAATTCAATAATTATTTTGTGCATTAATCGTGTACTTTTTCGGCCGAGCCAATGTTTACATGCCGCCTAAATCGTCGTCCATGGAGTGCATGTGCTACGCGTACGGCGCGTTTGCGTGCGGGATCGCATTATTTAGTAATATTAAATACGCCTACACGCGAGAGGCACCGTCAACGGTCGCTCTTACGGTTACGGTCGGAAGATTACGAGACCGGTCAAACACCGGGCTACGAAATCGCGTACAATTTCAGCCTGAAACAACCTGTGCCCCGTGATCCGTACACCCGTATAAACTGATACCATATTATTTCAATAATTATTAACTACCGAATAATGTTTGTATTAAAATCTCATATTCTGTTTAGACATTTTTTCTCTGATAAATTTCTGAACATCAATAATATATATATATATATATATATATATATTATACAAATGAAAAAACAAAAATGTAATATAATTACTAATGTCAAATTTGCTTACAAAACATATTCCTCTTATTAAATTTTTAAGTGAGGCACCGCTTCGCTTGCCTCACCCCCAAAACCGTCACTGCCGTATCGTAAACCGAATTAAAACTGCGGCACAAAAGATTCCTAATTATACATCCGCAGCTGTGTTCAGTGGAAATATTTCCGCCGAGGAGAATGGGTATCTCATGGGTATGCGCATACGTGTACGGATATCACACCGTCGCGATAGTACCAGGGATGTATTGGTACGTACACGCAGGGCTAATACACCGTATATCCGTTAGTAGATTTTCGATTTTCGGCGTAAACCTAAAGCAAAATATTATTTTACCGATTTACGCATCTAAAATAAGTCGAGTACCAAAAAAAAAAAAAAAAATTAACAGCACATTGGCAAAAATTGTTATAAGCTATGAAGTTGAATGAAATATTTATCTGTTGGAGATTACAGTGTTTAATGTATTTCAAGTTCAATTTAGTAAATAACACTTTGAAAAATAGATGTTATTAAATATAATATGGAATATGGACATTCAGTTCATCACGCAATTTATAATGCGCAGCAAATATATATCTTGTGATTTTGGATATTCTTATTAGAAAGTTATAAACATGTAATTAAATTATTCAAACTTGGCGAGAAAAAAATTTGTCGAGCGAAGCAATAACATTTTTTTAGGATTAATATCCATATTTTTTAAGTGGCCTTATCAATACGCCACTGGATAGTACATAGCATAGAACAGCGGTTCCCAAACTTTTACAACCAAGGTACCCTTAGGAAATAGTTTGTGTTTCGTAGAACTCCAACGTAACTTCGACATGACCCCAATTTTTTAGTTATTTATTGAAATACCAATATTACAAAAAATATTTTAAAGATAATCTACAATTGTTGTTTATTGAAATCACTACTTTCGATATTCACATAAATTTTGCGCAACTCCTGATATTGTTCCACAAAACACTTGGATTAGTCACTTTGGAAACCCCTGACATAGAAAACACATATATTACATGTTCACACGTTTGTCACTTATATTCTACACAGTAGCAATGACTAATAATTATAAAACCTGTTCGAACAGAAAATATATATATTTCATTAGAATCATATTTCAAAATGTTCGAAGTAACAGATTTATATTAATTATTTTTTTTTATGTACAACCTATAAGAAAAAAAAAATAGTTGCGTTACCACTACTGCCATTATGGTTCTCACCTAAGTTGTTTTAATTATTCGTTCAATTATCAAAACATTCAAAATAAATTTATCACCAAGCATAATGTAATACATCATACTCCGTAGAACAGTAAATAAGCGGTTATTTTTTTCTTTAGAATGTGTAGGATATTGGTATATATACAAAAATGAATTCAATGTTTTGAAGTTGATTAATGAGGTCGCGAGTAAATTAACATTTATTAAAAACGAAAAATAAAGTTAAAATAAATATTGTAATCGTCCTTTAATTAACTTTGTGATAAATTAATTTTCAAAAGTTTTTATCGAAACGCACCAATAGAAACACATTACTAAATATTACTGAATCCCGGCTAAATACTGATTACTACGGAACAAAACCCAAAAAGATATAAAATGTTATTTTTACGTCAGTGTAATAACCAATATTATTTTCAATTCAAATAACAATATTATTAAATCCTGTTTAAATATTTGAGGTTTGAAAGATTTCTGTAAATAAAATAAAATTTAAGCGCCACCCGGCCATCGTTCAAATAGAGTCCATAGTGTAATAACTCAAAAATACAAAAAATAAAATAGAGATAGGGAGAGGTAAGATGTAAGAAGGGATGAGAGAATGGTAAGAGTGGGATGTAAGATGGGGGATATGTGAAAGGCGGTGAGGTATTAATGTATTAAAGGGTTGTTACCTTCCTCCTTGTTCAAGGGAGGGCTTTCAGGGTTGAGAAGGTTCAAGAGCCGATCAGCGCAATTGTACAGTCTGCCAAGCTAAATAAAACAGCACTTATTTATTTTGCCGTAGACCTTTAGATGTCGATGCGAGGTTGAAAGAAAAATGACAAATGCAGAATTTAATTGCACTGGATCCGGATACTCTTCAATACTCGTACGAAAAACACAAGTCGAACGGATTAAAATTATAAGTCAAAATAAATCACATATATAAACTCTTCGTTGATCTTACGATCGGTGCTCTTGCACTGACGACCTAAGATCAAGAGATCTGTGAAGGGTGGTGTGTGTCCCCGTTATATAGGGACACGCGGTGGCATGGATCTTAGGCAATCCTTTGAATGTAGGGATGTCAATAGTATTTATTGTTCGGCCCGTGTTGTTCGCGCAGGTATCAAAGATACCGTTATTTATTTATTTGAAGTAGTTTTATAAATCACGTACATATAAATAGTATACATAATAAAATATTTGTGCCGTTTTTTACAATCGAATGATGCACATCATTACAATAGTATATATACATCTATAGGAAAAATATTTTTACAAGTACATTGATAGTTTAATCTTAAGTGTGTTAATACATAAGGAGTTGGTTTAGAGGCGGGTCATGGACGTTGAGAGTACCATCTGTCTGGTGATGGACGTCGAAGGTCGAAATATAATGATCACCCGGTGATACTCTATAGGCCTGGGATACGCGTAGGCCCTGTAGGGAACTAAAGTAGTCGTTCGCTTATCTCATTGCAGAGAAAAAAAAAAGAAAAAAACAAACTCGTTTTCTACCAATAATCTATGGTTTATGAAGCCGTGAGCGGATAATATATGCAAATATTTATTTGACGGGAACGCAGTTTGCCGGAGGCTGTAAAAATGACGCCACCGAAATGGATTTTTCACGCATTAATTGTTGTTTCGCAAAAAAAATAAAAATATAGGTAGACAAAAGTCTCGCACGATCCATAGCATCAAAAATGATAGTAACGAGTGGGCAATAGGTGAGTTCATTCCCGAGAATGTTTTATGTATTAGATGTATTAGATGTATTAGATGATTCCCGGGCAATTATTAGGTACGTATGAATGAATTCCCTATTGTTTTACATCAATTATCAATAGATTGCACGAGTAAAGAGTTATTCGAGTTAGTAAAGAGTTAATATCATTACCAGATACCGATTTATAAAATCAATGTGTTACAAATTTTTACCAATTTTTTTTTTTTACATTTTTCTACCTAATTACTAAATGTGTTTAATAATAAGCCAACGAGTGTACATACCACGAGCATTGGCTGACTCGTGACGTCGTAAAAATACTCGTAAACGTCTCACCGCGAAATAATTCGACTACTTTCACGATACACATTACGATCACGCTCTTTGAACTTATTCGGCACAGGTTGTCGGTTTAACGGGATGAATAAATAATTGCGAACTTTATTGCACGGTGCTTCGGTGTGATATGCGATAATTCTAACGGAAGCGTTCGCGAACAGAGTAGGCGTGTTCGCTCGCGTTTTACTATAAAATACACGTATATGTATATAAATAGCCGGT